ATATACTAAAAATAAATAATAATGATACATATTTACTGTAAAAATAGATTAAATCAAATTATTTTATATATAATTAAGAGTTTTTAACATTTTTAAAGTACATATATTTGTAAATATAAATAATTTATTATCTATTTTTGTTATATTATTAAGTAAGTATTTATTTAATTATTTTTTAAAAATTCATAACAAATTTTATCCGTGAAAATATGTGGATACCATTCTTCTTCTTTTTTTGTCATTCTTACTTATGATATAAAAAATATATAGTTACAATATCTAAACGCAGATTCTAAATTCGTAACTATGCTTTGCGCCGACAGCAGCACTGCTGCAGTGGCACAATCGACAAATCATTAGCATCAGAATAAAATAAAACACTGAAATTGGGAACATCACACTTTTTCACAAATATAAATATAAAATTCTAAATAGAAAGAAAAAGAAAAGTGATGGGCAATAATACCCAAATTTTGTTTCACAGAAAGGAGAATCGAAAATGATGCCCTAATTTCCGCGTTAATCAACAATTAACTTTCCTCCTCCTCTTTTTGTTTTTTTTTTCCTTTTCAATTTTCTCTTTAAATTCTCGCTTTTATCAACTCGCTTTTTGGAAGAGTTTCAGATTCAGTGCATGTCGGCTATGTTTCTACATGCCGAATGACTCTGTTGACGAGGGAAAAAAAAACCACAAATTTGAATCATAGTAACCCTTAAACACTACGGAGAGATAGGAGACAATCTAATCTCACTTAGGATTATTCATCGTCCATGTTTTCGTGCATATTCGTTTTTTAGGTTCCAGCATCTTCTTGAAATTCTTCTCAAGCTCCACGAAAATTTCTCAGCCTTTTCGCCATTATCCTTCCCCATCGAAGTTTCCTCTTTTATTGGATCCGAGACATTGCAAGATTTGATCTTTTTACGAATCATATCATTATCAGACATTCCCATTTTCTGGGTAATTGGGATTGGTTGCCTTGGATTTCACTCTATCATTTCTAGGGTTTGTGTCGGTTGTGTTTGGCGTATACCCTTTTGACGCCTAATGAGCTTGACCGTGAAAAGATTGGTCCTTGGTGATCGCAGTGTTCAATTCGATAAGTTCCGGGATTGATTCTTTTTCAAAAAGAATATAGCCTTTTTTTCTGTGAGATTTATCCGTTTAATATTTTAATTCCTTTTTTTTAACGGTGATGCGAGAATATCAGAGCAAGATTCTTGTGTTATTATGTTTAGATTAAAGAATTGTGAGGGCCCTGTGCGCTTCTTGTATCAGCAAACTAGGCAGCACCCTCACCGTAACAATCTTATGGCTTATTTAGTTGGTTATGATCCTTGTTCCCATTTGAGCAAGGCTTTTTCTCATTACCCTTCTCTATCTTCTTCTGCTCGTGGTAGCTGCCTGTCTTTCCCATTTCTCCAAAATCTTGTTTATGCTAATGTTTTTGGGGTTAGCAGAAGCATTGGTTTTGGGCCTAGAGGTTGTAGCAATGACACTAGTGGTAGTTGTAGTAGTTATAGTGACAGGATCCTTGTGAGGGCAAAGGCAAGGCCCCGTGGCTTTGTATCGAATCGTCGGCAACAGATGTTAGCGGATTTGGAGCAAGGGAATTCTGTAAGGAGCGATGAATGTGATGCTAATTTGGTTAAGGTTGATAATGGGTCTATAAATGGAAGTCCTGCCAAGCCTCCTTGTTTCAGTGATCACCGGTTGTCCCAGAAACTTGTTGTTGCTGTTGATGTTGATGAGGGTATGTATGCAAATTTGTATGCATGTGCCACTATTTTTATTATATTATGTTGTTCTTCAGAGTTTTATATATTTTGTCATTTAATTTTCTTTATATGAATTAAGTATTCCCTCGTGCAGAATCCTGACTATGTTCCAACCCTTTAAATATGCAAGGAGAATTGCTTTACTGGATGTCTTTTCCAAATATTTATAATTTGTTTCAAACTTAAACATCTAATTGAAGAATAATTAAGAAACTATGGTCAAAGTTCCCTCTCCCCCAGGTGAGTGGAATGGTCAGATCATCATATTATATCTCAACATTGTTCTAAGCTTCATGCTTGTTACATGTATATTTGCCTGAATCTTACCTGGTCAATATGGGGGTTGAAGCATTCTTTTCAGCATGCCACTGAGATAAAATAGAATATAAGGAAATTCTTTTCAGCATCCATTTGTTAAATACGAACTCATGAACTTGTTGGAAATTCTTAGAATTGTTTGTGACCTGTGATTTCTAAAATAGAATATATAAGGAAACAAGATTCTTTTTTCATTGATACATTGACGCCTTTTTCTTTGGCTGTTAGGTGATGTCTGCAATATTCTTGTTTGGTTCAGAGCATGCTAAATTTTCACTTTCATATTAAGCTTCTTGGGTTGTTTGACTTTTGTGTCATTATTGCTTGTGTGAATAAAATCATATTTTTATTTTATTAAGTAATTGTCAGCTCCAGTTGTGTCCAAGTAATTAATATTAGTAATCTACTTCTGTTTGCAGTGTGATGGCTTGCCTAAAATTAGTTACGTTTCTTTTACATTTGAATCCATTGTAGACAGACTAATATGTATTTTAATTCTTGGATTATCCATTTTTTTTCTTCTTCTGATGCTTTTCCCCACATATGAACAGTATTAGGAAACTTTGTGTCAGCTCTCAACAAGTTCATTGCAGATCGATACTCATCAAATTATTCAGTTTCTGAATATCATGTGTATGAATTCTGTAAGGTATTATTCAGCTGCTTTGGCAATTCAATATTTTGATGATAAGTAATTGAAATTTACCAATTTGTTTTTGGATAATTTAATATTAATATTAAATAATGTTAACAATCGACTACTTGAATGTTCTTTCAGGGGTTCATTTTTGCCCCCTTTCACCAGTCTTTTATATAAGCAAAATTCTGTTAACTCATAATTCAGTTTTTTCATGGCTTTCTTGGAGTTCCATGGTTTTATGCATTCCCCCTTTTCTGTTAGTACTTTTATAATAATTGCATGCATCATGTGTGAAGTGTATTTGTCTTGTGCACTAGTGGTGCTATTAAAGAAAATTTCACTGATAAAGGATAATCAGCACTTACAATCCAGTTAGCCCCATTGTATTGCCTTGAATTGGTGCTTTTGTATTTGGAGTCTGATGCCCCCTTCATTTCTGTTGCAGATATGGAATTGTTCACGTGATGAAGGTAACTATCTATGTATCTGTCATATTTTGCATATCACATTTTGTGAATAGTTTGGTATTCCATTTCTTATGAAAATTTATAGGATATACATTATTTCCTTGTCATTTTATTTTACCAAACTCTTGGATTGAAGTGTTGCATGTGTTCTAAATCTAGATGATCTTTCTTGAGTTTGGATTCCCATAAATCTAATTAGTAAATACGTCAAATTCTGATAGTTATGTTTCATGGTTAGCTTATTATGGAGAGGCAAGCCTAATTTATGATACATATCCTAATTTTGCAAGTCAAAGTCAATGGTGAGGCAAGCCTAATATGTTTGCTGTGTGTATTTCCAGAAAGTACAATGCTAAGGACAACAACCGACCCAATTAAATAAAATAAAAAGTAAAAAAAATCATTTCAAATATCGGTTGTTGGGCTTAGCAAGAGATTCATTAATTTTATCATGTTTTTTATGTAGAAATCTTGTGGATTTTTTATACAACATTTTTTAATGCCTACTGATATCTAATGGACTGGTTGAAATTTGAAAATCAATATCTTGTTCTGCAGCTGATATCCGTGTTCATGAGTTTTTTAAGACACCATATTTCAAGTCAGGGATCTACCCTCTTCCAGGTTCTCAGACGGCTCTTCAGAAGTTATCAAGATTTTGTAGCCTATCAGTTGTAACGTATGCTTTTAGTATTATTGAACTTTCTTCAACCTGTAAAGGAGTCTTGTCAGCATTGACTAACTGGGGTATTATTATATGATCAGCTCACGGCAGAATGTAATTAAGGATCACACAATCGAGTGGTTAGAGAAGAATTTTCCAGGGCTTTTTCATGAGATTCACTTTGGTAACCACTTTGCTCTTGATGGGGTGTCAAGACCAAAGTCAGAAATTTGTAGGTAAGTCCCTTAGTGCTCTTAAATGTAGTGCATGTTTCAGATGTGGATCCCTTTCTTTCTCAGTATTAAATGCAGTGCATGTGCAAACTACAGAACTGCAAAAACAAAAGAAAATACCAACTCTTTCCTCACTTAAAGCATCAACTTGTGTTTCAATTGTTTTTATTAGTAATAGATTGTACTGCCATTGACAGGTCTTTAAATGCCAAGGTTCTTATTGATGATAACCCCCGATATGCCATGGAGTGTGCTGAAGTTGGAATTAGAGTCCTACTTTTTGATTATGAAAACTCATATCCTTGGTGCAAGAACGAGTCTGTTGATCAGCACCCTCTGGTGACCAGAGTTAAGAACTGGGAAGAAGTGGAACAACAATTAATGTCATTGATAGCTTCGTAGTCTTTAAATCTTGTAGCAAGAATTTGTGGAAAACCACCCTTTCTTCATGAAGTTCTGGACTATATGTGGTATATTCTTGGAGATTGAACTCACTTAAGTGGCTGCAAGGAAACCGTGGTCCCAGACTAAAATAGGCTGAGGCTAAAGAACTATAAATGACAGCTTTTTATATTCTTTTTCCGATTTTGAGCAACATTGAGATACAGTGAAATAGGAAGTTGTTCGTTATGGTGGAATTTAATGTGATTTTACCATACGGATAACCAAAGATTTGTTTACACCCTCCATGAATGTAGGAGTGAAATCTAAATCATATTGCTTATACTATCCTGCAGTTCACACTTCAACCGTCAAATTGTATGACCTCTGATTATACATGAAATTAAAGTTTAAAACCCATCAGGGGTTTTAGGCATTGGATTCTATTGTACTTATTTTACAGTTTAATGTTGTTTTATCTATATGTTTTAGTCTCCTTAATTGTTGGATTCGTGGGCATTCAAGCCTAGAAATGGTGAAATGTATAACTAGATGGATAGGAAATGTTACTTCTGCAATAATTTGTGTACATTATTTTATTTTATTTATCTCTTTCTATATTCTATTACATCATTTATTATATTTATTAATGATAAAAGATAAAAAAAAAAATTGATGTTAAACAAATCATTATTATATATATATAATACTCATAACATTACTTCTATCTTGCTAAGTCAAAAACGTAAAAAAAATATGTTTTACATTGAATTTGGTAGAGAGGAAGTTGAAAAGAAATAGAGAAAATAAATAAATAAGAAATAGGATAGAAGTATAAATTGTTTAGTCGTTAATTTTTTAAAAATTATTTGGTTTTAAAGTTAAATAAAGTTACTATAGAATATTATTTTCCAATTTTTATCCCACATAATAATAATAATAATAATAATAATATTATTATTATTATTGTGGTTGGGAGGATAATGTGATAATGGATCGATTAAGGGGAGGAGATAGTCATATACTCCTAGTTTTGAATATAAGAAAAAAAATTGTTTGTTGATTTTAAATATATATAAATTATATATTTAATCTTGCTGTCCTTTCATTTAATTAAGATTATATTTTTAATATTTTTTATTTTGATATTAAATTCTAAAGAAGGATAATTGAAAAATAAATAACTTTTAGAATAGATTTGTAAACTAAAATTAAATAATGTAAACTAATCGTGAATTATGTTGCTTGCACTTATTATACTTACGGCGCACAGATATCTTGCCCTTCTCATTTTTGAGGAAAAGATATTTTGTCTAAATTTTTCAGTATTTTCATCGATAGCAGAAGTTCAAACGAATTTTCTTTTTCCTATCCTTTCTAATGTACCAAACACAGCGTTAGTTCTTGGTATAATTTTGAAATGCTAATGGATAAACATTGTTTAAAACATTGTGTTTTAGGATATATATGTTTTAGTTCGATTGATCAACAATTAATATCTTGCTATATACTATTCATACTTCATGACTGGTTGCATGAATTGGTATTGCTGCAATTGAAATTGTGTGTAAGAATTTCCAATAAGTATTTTAGCAATGATGGTAATGTATGGTTCATTCTGACACCGGTATAAATGGTAGTTGCAATTCTACAAATGCAGTAATTATTATAGTTTATCTATTCAGATCTAACATTGCATGGTGTACAACAACGTACACCTCTACATCAACAGCCGCTTCAGAGATGAAAATTACTCAGTCTTCTCTATCAACTTGATGCCATAAGCTTCTATAATATCCAATGCTGCAAACACCACATATCACAAATCAGCATTGTAAAGAACATACAACAATATACAATTATTGATATTAGTTCCATATTGTGCATCCTGTAAAGTGTTAACAATGGAATGGCAACATATGCTGTTGAGTAGATTCATTTATTTTATTTTTTTATCATTTTCCAGTCTGATGCAAAACCCTTTACTAAAAGAATAACTAGAATGATTCATGTCTAATATGCACAAATTACTTTCATTTTTACATATGTTAAAAACATATTTATTTATAAAATTATTTTTTATATTGAGATAACATAATTAATTCTCTGAACTTTTTCAAAAATTATTTTTTATATTAAGATATAAGTTTTTTTTTCTATTCTAAATAATTTATAAAAATATAAAGTAAAAAATAATGTTAATAATAAATATATAAATAATGTTAATAATGAATATAAAAATACTCATATACTATAAAAATTAATAAATTTTCATTATAATTATAATATTAAAGTAAATGAACCTATTTCACTATGTAAAGTTGGGTTACAAAGATTGGTCTTTTGAGCTGAACCCATTCACTACCCCTAATTAAAAGTAGTTATTTTAATGTTCTTATTATAATAGTGCAATATTAGATAATTATAGAAATGTTATTTTTTTGATAATTTCTATCGAGTTTTTTTCATAAAGAGGATCAACGACAACTTTGTCCATAAACCATATCTCAAATTATTATCTTTTCACATTTTCAAAATCTCTTACAAACTACACTTACTCAAAAAATTATTATTAATTGCTTACTTTTATTAATTATTATTTTTTAAAATACACATGCTCAAAATGCCTTTTTTATATGTATATTATAAAAATAATAAATTTTCATTATAATTATAATACCAAAATATTACAAAAATGAAAATTTAAAAAATATTACTTAAATAAATAATCATTTTTAAATTATCCAGATTTTTTTAAATATTATAAGAGGTAAGTTTTTTTTTCCTATTGTGAATTATTTATAAAAATATGAAGTAAAAAATAATGTTAATAATGAATATAAAAATATTCATATTTTATTAAAAATAATATTTTTTTATTGTAATTATAATATTAAATACTATAAAATAGTATTATAAAAATGAAAATTTTAAAATTATTACTTGAACAAATAAGAATTTTAAAATATTAAAAAAAGTATTTTATTAATGTTTCTATTTTTATTAAGAAATATAAGTTTCAGTTTAAACAATGAGAAAGGAAAATTAGAAAAGGAAAAAAAAAGTTAGAAAAAGAAGATGGCTTTGAGCGGGAAAATTTGCTGCTGACACATATCCAGGTAAGTTATTCTTTTACTAATAGTATAATAATACTATAATAGTATAAGAGTAAGATATGGGGAAAAAACTTGGAACTTTTTCATTTCTCAATACAAAAACAAGAATTATCATTGTGACCTAAGAATCCTGGTCCAAAAAATTCACTAATGCCAATTATGCTATTATTTTTTGTGGTCAATTTTTAACTAATGCATCCTAGAAAAACTAGATTCAACAAATGGACAACAAACAAATTTATGATGCTCACCTGGAGTGTATACTTCAGGTTCAATAGGTCTTAAGACTCCTCTAGTCTGAATTTTGTTTGTCAACAAGAGCTGCAAAAACAGATATAATTCACTAACAGCATTTGCTTGATAAACAACATAAAAGAACAGAAACAGAAAGGGATGGAAAGTACCAGAGCTCCAACAGCAGCTGGAATACCAACAGTAAGGGCCATAGCAGTTGTGGTTTTTCCATTGACAGTTTTCCCATATTCCAGTAAAGTAGCTCTATGTTTCTCTGTAATTTGGCTATCTGGGTATTCTACTTCCACTTCATGGTGCAAAAGCACCATATCCTGCTTACAAATCAGGTAAAAGTTAAGGCACTACATATCAAATTATGCTTCAATAAGTAACCTCTGAACATTCCTGCAAAAAAGTTGCATTAGCTGTATTTAAGGTGATATGCGGATACAAAATCAGTTTTATTTTTCTGTTTTTGAAAAAAAAAATAATTAAGCAGTCATATTCTTTATTAGTTTATAAAATGTCAAAGCACTACGCATTTCATATAAATTAATAGAAATGTACCTTTTCTGTGCTGGTGTATGATAGTCTCTCCTCCATGCGGAAACAAACAACATCAAAAGCACTTTTGCAGGAAGCAGGGATTTCTGTTAGCTCAAGAAGTCCCAAGAATCTATATCAAAAAAGACACTCAGGTTAAGACAATAATTTTCCAAATGAAAGTATAAGATAGGGGTAAATGGTTTACATGATTGTTTTTGCTGCCTTCGTTGCAATTCTTTGATCTTTGCTGTGCCCTTGTGTTAATAGTCGTTCTATGATCTCATTCTCTCCTATCAAAGGTCCATCAGGATCTTCACTAACAACTTTGAGAAGTTCAAATAAAAATTTTCTAAAAGTTGGTCTCGGTTCATTCATTAGCAGCGAATGAGCTTCATTGTTAAATAAGCCAATCCTAGACAGTGTCGCCATGATCTCACTAAATCCTGTACACCAAGTGACTACAAGTTTCAGAAAGATTCAATAGGCCCTTTATTTTATAGACATTGATTTTAACATAATTCAAGGAATGGTATAACTTCATCAAATATTGATTAATATAGTTTAAACATGTTAGAGAATGGTATTGATCAATGTCAAATGTTATCCTGAAAAACAAAAGAAACAAATATATACACCATGCCTTCATAGCGGAGGGTTCCACGGAAAATGGTTGATGCTTCGGTTATCGCATACAAATCCCCATAAAGTAATGAATTACGATTTGGGAGACATTCCAGTGCAAAAGCAGGAAGTTCCGGGAGCCTTAGTCTTGTAGCTGAATCGTAAAGATTGTCCCCTGTGCAAAAAAAAAAAAGTGTTGATGTAGTGAGATTATGAACAATGCAAACAAGTGATAGAGAGGACTGAGGGGAATAAGACTTGTCAAAATGGAAAAAATGAAGTCTTCTTTTTCAAACTTAAGCAAGAATGCACAAGAGGTTAAATATAGAAAATTACTTGAATGTTATTATTTAGACCTTGAAAGTGGATGCATGCATACATATTATGGACATATCCTGATTGTTGCTTTCTTGAAATTATATTCCCAATTGATTAAAAGCTTACCATCAATATGTACAGTTTCACCACCCCATTTGTAGGTCGCGGGATTGCGCCCAGCTCGGATGGCTCCTGCAGGATTCCAACTGAAAATAATGGGTAGTGAATGAGTTCTTATAATAGCAACCGTCAATTTTTCTACTACATAAGGAAAAGCAACTATGTAAGTCACTACAGTTGAATGATTAACAAGATGAAAATACTACAAAATTTAGAGATTAGAAGCTGAGTTTCAGTAACTTACACCAACATATCCATATGTTCTATGGATCATATCGAATTAAATAAAGAACGTTCGTGTATAGTTCATACAAACATTTATCCAAAAAAATTGTGAAGTGTTCCGAGTCAAAATATTTTGTTATGTGATCTCTTAAGAGGGTTTTCAACTATAACAAAATAGAAACCTGATTAAAATGAGTAAACTCTATTGCGAGTTTTTTTCTGAATGAAGATCAATTGTACTTTTTGTATGTGCAACAGTAGCTCATTATTGAACTCAACAAAATATTGCCCGTCAAAGTTTGAAGATATTTTAGTTGTATTTTAAATGGGTAAACAAGCTGAAGAAACATTTAGTGATAACAGGACTGGTATTGTTGTCTGAGAGATGTAGTTTCACATGTTATTTGATTTTCAAGCTTCTTCCTAAACTATAAATGACTGTCACTGAATAATGATGACACTATTTCTAGAAATAGTAACAAGCATGCTATCCTAAAGAACATTCACGTTGAATTTTATATATAGAAGTTATTTATCACCAAGTCATCACATCAAATCAGTAAGTGATAGTTTGACAAACACATTCCAAGAAGTACCTGAATTTATATGCCAACGGATTGTTAGCTGCTTCGGGAGATGGAAGTCCACCACAATAAGAAGTGAAAGACTTTATTTTACCCTTCCGTACATGTGCTTGATTGATCATCTTCATTGCCATCATATGATCTAGATCATCAAAAATACAATCTTATCGCAAGACCCATTTTAGGTTGAAATATGTCAGGAGCAGGTTTCAGCGGATGTGTTAAGGTAAAATAAGCAAACAAGTATTTATAAGGAATTTGTATAAATTTGATGACATGATATGTATGTAACATGCAGCCCTGGAATTATCAGAATAGCTCTTACCAATTCCTGGGTCCAAACCCATCTCTCCAAGAATTGTAATACCAGCATCTTTAGCCTTATCATCTAGCATTGACATGGAGCTATCAACATAGCTAGCAGTGACAAGATGTTTCTTCAACTGCATTAAGAAACATATTCATTTACTAAGTTAGAAAAAAGAAAGAATATTAATAATTAAATACCAATTCTACCCTTGAATTTTTTACCAAAAAATAATCTACAAACATGTTATTATGAGATTCTAGAACAAAAGAAAGCATTTGTTCACAAGGGAACATTTTTTTCCTAGATTACTTCGATAATCTCTTCTTTTTTTTAAACCACAGGAAGATCAATCTTTAACTTGATTTATAAATGAATTCAAGAAGGAACTTCAATCCTTATCAAAAATCAAAAGTTCAATTCATTATTTTATTCATTTTAAAACTGTTACAGCCTTTAATATAATCTATTCTTGATATGCTTTGTCCAAAAACATATGCCATTTTTTATTCTTTTTTCCTCTAAATATATATCATTTCAGTTCATTATTGATGAACATAAAGTAATGTGAAGCACCTCAATGCAAGCATTTGCTACTATAACGTGACAACTAGGGGGCAGCAAACTTATAACAACATCAACCTGCAGAGAAGGAAAACAAAACAAAATGTCAAGATAAGGTTGCTAATGTTATCAAGACCATAAGAATACAAAGCATAGATCATATGTTGCATGATAGCAAAATCATAGTCAGCTTAACAATGATGGAAAATTCAAAATTATAAGTATATTATAGGTTAATAAGTTCATTTTGAGATGCTTTCTAGAGAAACAATTAAGATATATGCAGAAGTTACTTCTCAAGGGACAAGCCTACCTGTGAAATGTACTTATTCAAACTGGCACGATCCATCACATCAAGCTGAATTCCAGTTACATTTGGAATGCCTTCAACAATCTGCATTGATTTACCAATGTCAAATCCAGGATCCCTATTAAAAAAACCTGCTCTGATTGACTGCTTCCGTAGAAGAAATTATGTAAAATCAAAGTATTTTAGTCGAAGTACCTGCTCTGCATCCTTCAGGTACAGAGATCCCACAATGACTTCTACATCAGTTTGACATTCAAAATCATCTTCCAACAATGTTTTATACCATTGGATTGATGATGGCCTTCCAAATGATGATATCATTTCAGCAGCAGGTTGACAGACCCGACCGGCACCAATAATTAAAACTGCAGCCTTATTTTTCAGATCAGGTTCCCTGTCCATGCCATTATCTTCTATTTTACCAAGCTTAAGTGAAATTTTACTTGAATCTTGATTTGAAAATCTATCATTTTCATTTGGATTAGCAATAGATGTTAAAGAATCAATGATTTGGTCCAGAACAGCCTTATCATCTGCACCAACCTGTTCAAAAACCCAGCATGTTAATACATCATTGATTATTATAAGTTCATTAGGTTGGTACGGAAGTCATAGTTTAAAATGTAATTCCAATATATGTATCTTTGTGTGTGTGTGTTTGTGTGTATGTATGACTAAAAAACACAGCACACCAGACCATATGGCTTCACCTGGCTGAATTGACACCCCTCACAGCAAGAAAGATTAGAAGAAACAGAATGGGATTTAATGTTCTAACAAAATACAAAATTACAATTTTTTTGGAATGGTCAACAAGGAATGATGAGTGATGAAACTAGATTTCTGTATCATGAAATCCTTAGGATCTAACATGCTTCCTGTTGAGAAATCTTCATTACCTTGGCTCAAGAGCAATGAAAGATGAAAGACCTCTCATCTTTCAAGCATATGGAAGAGCATATTATTGAAGAAAAGACCAAATATAAAGTGTTTGTTACCATATTTTACAAGTCTTACAGAAAAGAAATTGAATTATTTAGTATTGCACATCAAAAGAAAGATAAAGAACATTTTCTGAAGAGCACAAATAAATTTTTCAGTTTGAAATAGATGACTACTTACTTCAAGTTCAGAAAATGATACAGCTTCAGCACTCTGACCCACATGGCAATTGACTAAGTGGAAGGAGCCTCCTGCAGCTTCAATAATGTCTAAGGCCTCGTTTATCAGAAATTTATCAAATAAGTGACCACTCAGAGATACCTGTCAATTATATTCAGTGATCTCAATCAGAAGATTACCTAGCAACTAGTGGGATTAATGTAAACACTGCGATTTTTTTAATTATTGTTAAATGTATTAAAATATATGTTGTTGTGCTAATTTGTTGTTTATATGTATAAAAACTCTGGGAATTTAGGGATTATCTAAAGTTTTAGTCGTTTAGGAGTGTATCTAAGCAAAGGTCAAATTTGACCAATAGGGAAAGGTATATAAAGTCTTTCTTAATAAATGGACTTCATAAGTTCAGTTTCTTAAGAAGGTTTGAGAGAAGTTAGCAAGAAACACTCTGGAACTTGAGAGTTCTTCTCCTACTGATCCCCTAAGTGTTTAGATTTCCTTCCTGAGTGAGTTGTGTTGTTGGAGTGGAGATTCTAAGTTTTGAAGGCTAAGAATCGAAGATGGTGCGACACTAGTTCGAGAACCATTTTCTTCCTCCTTTTGCTCTCTTTTCTCTTCGATCTAGAGGTAAAGAAAGCTATAAATTGTTTCCTTGATGATTGATAAAGTTAAATGTCGTTGATTTCATTAAAATTTGTGGTTACATTGTTGAATTTTGAAGTGAAATGGGTGTATGGTTAGTTTTGGTGTTTTAAGGCATATTGTGGTGAATTTAATGAATTCTAGTAATTGGTGGTTGCATGTTGATAATTTGGTTTGATTCGAGTTGTTTATGATGCTTATGAATGTTTTAGCACATTGCATACTTGGATTTCTTGAGTTTCAGGTGTGGAGAGCCAAAATCAGGATTTTGCCAAGTGCATAATTCATCATTGCGTCAAGCATAGCTTCAAGGCGCCATGCGTGATGCAAGCTAGGGGATCTCTACCTCACTAACTTTGGGCGCGGAACTGGTAGCATCAGGCATGAGCTAGAAGAGAGCTCTCTGACTTGGTCACGTTGGATATGGGTTAAATGGCATCGGGCGTGAATGTCCTTGGAGCTCTCTAACTTGGTAACATCGGATCCTAAGTTGAGTGGCATCTAGCGTGGTCAAGATAAAAACTGTAATATCAATTGTATATGTGTTAATGCATTAAATTGGATGTAATTGTAGTTGTTGAGGAGACGTGATTTCTACGAAGGAAGATCTATGGATAATTTGTAGTCACTGAGGAGACATGATTCCCAATAAGAAAGATCGCATTCTTGCTCAGCAAGACGTGCAAGGTCGCTCAGCGAGAAACTCCAAGGAACTCAACTCGTCCAACTAGATATTAGCCACTTAACGAGAAGCCTCAAGGGACTCAGCTCACTCATCTAGATGTTATTTTCTCAGCGAGACGCTCCAAGGAGCTCAACTTGTTCAACAATTGTTAGATAGTTGTTTTATCCTTGTGATCTTGATACTACCTTTTTACTAATGATTAATTGATGTATTTGAGAATGCACATGAGATATATGATGTGATATGTGAAGTGAGATCATGTGTATGATATTGCATTGAGTTAGTTTTGATAGGGTTATTTTATGGTATTTGTCTAAGAGAATATTTTATAAGGGTTGTTATTTCACACACAACTCTACAATGATGAGATATTGTCTGTTTTAGGCCTAAGCCCTCACGATTTTGCTTTTGGTCATCACCCAAAAGACCTTTCAATCATTGGAGTATGTGTATGCTTTATAAGTTGTTATTTCTTCTCTTATTTTATCAATGTAGGATTTATTTGTATCCCAACAATTTTCACATGCATCATGTACATAAAAGATGTTTTTTAAAGGGTACGGTATGGAATACACCGTCAAGAAAGGTCCCTTGTGTAAAAGCTTGGGAACCAACCTTGGGAATAGCTCAGTTTGGAAGTCTCAATCCTGTCTTCTGAGCATGGAAAGTATTTTGTGTGACTTAGTTATCCTGACCAAACCTTGGTAGTATATCCTTATAGTGAGAGTCGCAAAGGGTGTGATCCAACATGTACTCCTAGATTACTTTACATGTATTGTTATCGACAATGCACAAGTGTGATATGTGATATTTGAAATCATGTAGTCTGTGTTTATTGCATAATGCATTATAATTTTTTATTATTGTTTATTATGCTATGACTAAATGACTGTGATTATAATGTTTGTTTGTGCATGCTATATCTTGTATTTCTTATTTGTGTTTGGATATCCAGTTTGCATTTCCTGCATTGTGAGTCAGAGTGAGATGTTTCTCATTCTCTTTGCTTTGTGTTATTTTTCTTGGTTGTTATACAAGTAATCATCAACATGAAGTTGAAAATGTTGGTGATGAGGCTTAGGCTTCACTATTGGATTTTGCTCTAATAGGACATGTAGCACCAAGGCATAGTTAGGACTAAATTAGGATATTGTTTTGTTGAATTATTTTGGAAAACATCAATTTTATTTCCTTACGATTTCAATGATTATGTTATTTTGTGAAGTTAAAAATGTGTCGCAAAAACTCTCTCTAAATGACGTCGAGAGCCAGTGTGGTGACATCGGACGTGATTTAAACAGAGGCTCTCTTCATGAATGAGGCCAGACGTGGATTTAGCCATGTCAAATGTGATTGTCCCAAGGGCTCTCTACCTCATTCACACCAGGTATTGGTTGAGTGATGCCAGACGTGGACGAGCTAGAGGCTCTTTGCCTCAATGATGTTGGGTGTAAGGAGAATGGCACCACATGTGGGTTGCCTAATGGAAAGGTGTTGTTTATTTGACTAAGTGTTGACTATCGTGTAAGTTGAGTTGATTACATATTGTATGTTGATATATGTTGTTAGTCCTATATACATTAATCTAGGATAATGTATATTGATGATTAAATTGTTGAAATGTTAAGGTGATAGTGTTGAGAATGCTTAAGACATTAAGTTGTGTTGTGCTAATTGACTTAGGATTAGAGAAGAGGTTGTTTTAAAAGTTGGATATCTCATTATGAGGATATTGTTGTGGAGTTTTACGAGCCTAGTTGTTAAAAATTCTTCTTGAGAAGTTGACTCTTGAAGTAGATAGTTGAGTCTCTTCTAAGATCTTAGTTGATACGATATGGGGGTAATGTCGAGTCATACTGTCTACAAGTGACCACAATATGGAGGTCAGGTTGAGCTATATTGATATAAAGTGACTAATGTTGCTCCATATAGGGACCAAATTGAGTAAGGTACAAAGTCGAAGGTCAAAATCTCTAACTAAGTACTAGAAGGATAGTAGTATTTGGAGGGTAGTCAGTGGACTAATCCCATAAGAGACTTAGTTATGCATGCTAGTGTCATGGTACGCCTATACTCAAGTTGTCCTACCTTGACAAAAATACTAAACGTTCCTAGTTTAAGTGACAAAATCTAAGAAACCATGTTGTGAATTTCTAACCATGTTTCCTCGTAGTTGAATTGCGATAATCATACTTATATGAGAGCGAAGCAGGGATAGACTTGAGGCAGAGTTGTTTTTAGGCCATGCTGGATGATAGTGGTGTCTACATTTTGAGCTACTATGATGTAGTTGGTTTAGTTGTGTTGCTTGACCGACACCTTAGGATTATTATATCAGTACTGGATTATTACACATATTTATGTACTTGTATAGCTATTATATTACTTTACATTGATGCAAAAATTTTACACAGATATTTGGGCATATATCCAAATATTGATTACATATTAATCCTAGGTAGTTAGGTGTTTATCTCCCAACAAGTAGTTGAGCAGTAAAGTGTGATAATCTGACGAGTTGTTACAATTACCAAGAATATCTACTACACAAGTTAATCTTGTAGGGTTCAATCAATGGATAGTAATATTCGAAACTGAAGAACGCACCAATATATTGTATTTCCTCTTGTTAGATAAAGAATTTGCCGAGTTTTCTGATACTTCCCTGCAAGCCAAAAAGGCAGTATGTGTCTATTATAAGTGGAAAAATAACAGGAACGGTAAAAGGGGCACAAAAGTCAAGAAAGTGAAATAAAAGGCTTGCTATTACAAATTTACAGTTAAGGATACAGACAAACATTAATGAAATTGAAATACAGATCAGATACATACTCGGGATCAGAATTCCGCATGCGTGGGATATAATCATATAACGAGGTTAGCACTCCTCTATGGACTATGCAAGCTCTCCTTAAGTGAGCAGGCAACTTTGTTATGTCTGTAGCAGAAGCCAAGTTTGTGACAAATTGGGAAAGTATGTTTCCAAAATGTTGGGAAGCCTAGCCAAAATGAAATTTCGTATTAAATCATCCTCCAAATCTACACCTTTCTCTTATCAAATGAAAGTGGGAATTGAAAAATACGAAGGCACTTACCTCTTTTGCAAATTCTGTTGGAAGAATGTCGACAGCTAAACATATCACACCATTCCCCTCCATATCATCATGGTAAGAATTCGTTATGGGATCATATCTAACAACAATGTTTAAACATGACATCATACTGGGAATAAAAAGATTTGCAACATAAATATTTGCAATTGAATTGAACGATACAGTATAATGTAAGACACGATAATATTTCAGCAAAAGTATCACCTACTAATGTCATAGCTTCTAAAACATGCAACCAAGTATTCTGGTATTTCCTCCTTCTTAGGACTTCTGTCTTTTATATGGACCTCCTAATGCATCTTAGGTCAGCCTTTAAGAGATGTATGGAGTTAGAAAGACAGACTTGATGCTTTATGTGTGACATGAGTAAAGATTTATTGTGGTGTGCATGATTAAACATTTTGTTAGGGCCTCATGGTGCATAAAATCCAAGTTTTTTATGTTTGGACATAAGTAGACAAGTAGCGTCATACACATGTTTTTCAACTTCAAAAGTAGGCATTACCAGAAGCAGAAAAATATACTTTGACAAAGAATCTTCTATTTATGTCTATTTTCTGGTTGTATTTCTATTTTAGCTTATTTTCATTAGTAGAAAGTAAGAACAGGAAATGTAGATTACGTAATTCGTCATGTCAACTCGGGCCATATATATTTCCTAAGATTACAGCATGTTACCTAATGCCTATGCAAAGTGCTTGAAGAAATGCAATATTCAAGAACTCTTGAGCAAAACTATAATCTCTTTCTAAGATAAATTCCATGGTAGAATAGTGTAGATGAGTAAAATAAATTACTTTCATCAAACTAGAGACATGGTAATACCTGAAGAAGGGCGAATCAATTGATGTAGTGTGGTTAACAAACTCAATTGAACCCCCTATATCACACGTTATGTCTGCTATTCCAACAAGGGGGCACCCTTGGCTCATCAAGTCTTGCATCTGCTTATAGCTCAACAATTGAGGAAATCTTTGCTCCCAATACATGCAATTGACTAAGATAAGCATATGTTGAGTAATGGTGCTTAATAAGAAAATTCTGTTTATCAATAAACATCTACGCCAAATTTAATAAAAACAGAATTACAATATATGGTAAGATAACTTCCCAATTATTACAGGGCAAGGTATCCAAAAAGCAAAACAAAAAATACTTGGGGAAAAACTAATTTTATCGAGAAACATTTCAGGGCAAGGTATCTAAAAAGCCGAATAGTTAATATATATGGTCATCGGTGAGCTAACTTGAAATTTGTTGAAAATTGACTTTATTTGAATTACAAACATCTTTAACAGTGAAAAAATAAACATTTTGAGACTTGCTTTTTTGTTTAATACTCTTTTTGACAAATGAAAAAGAAAAATTCAAATTTTCGGTACTAGAAATCTAAATTACTTCAAATCATTTTAGTAATTCATGACACAAATGTCAAGACAAAACAAAATTACTAGGTACCCAATAACACTGCAGTGTGAAAAATAATTGCATATAATTTGCTCCATTATCAGCAGCACGCATGAAGGGACCTACCAATAACAGATGCATATGGTGCTATTTTTTCATGGAAAGTGGGATTGTAATGCTCAGGGTGTGCATAGTAGTCTGCCTGAAATTACGAGATCATGTTAGAATACTAGTTATAAATCTCACTCCCTGCTTCACATAGTTTAGATTAATGTTATAGAATCAACTGAAGAAAATAGAATAGGAAGAGGGGGAAAAAAAGCAAAAACAGAAGAAGACAAAACTATTACATCAAAATAGTTGAGAGAGAGAAAGAGGAGTAGTATATACTGAAAATCATGTGTCAATGCACACTACGGACCACCGAATATACAATGAAACTGGATCTAGGTAAATCATATGTACATATTAATAGGAAGATCAATGCAGAGTATGAATGAGAAGAATTAAGCATGATTCCTAGAGTTTGAAAAAATCACATTCAAGGTACTTTTTCTCATAAGATCATGAGAAATCCATAAAGATGCAAAGAGGGATGTTGATTGCAGGAACTACAATTGACTGGCACATCAACTATTCACTTGTAAATGAGAACAGAAATTTAGTTTCTTGTACCAAGGCATGAGACTAAGGGAGTGGTTATCAGGATCTGCATAAACACCAAGCCTTGATGCCTTTTCTTGTTTTATAGCATTATGAAGATTGTTTTAAATTATTTTTCCATTGCAATAATATGATGATTTTGAATTTCTCCAATCCTTCCACAATGGCTGCCAAATCATACATGCTATAAAATGGGATTTTATTGCTCTGCAGATCATTTTAGGAAGACTATCATAGATCGAAGTATTCACTACAAATTAGTTATTCACATGCAAAACAACATGCAAATTTTTTTGCAACATGGCAAAGAGGCAGTTTTAGCTGACAAATAGATATGAGGAGATCCCAAAACTCGAGATCAAGAACAACTAACTTTGTCATACACTTTCTTGGGATCTTTGGGTTCAACCATGTCTTGGGCAGTCACAACACAACCATAAACTTGGAAAACTCTTTTTGAAGCATGCCTTGGATGATCTGTGTCCTGTTAAAACAAAGTACATTCAGGGCGAAGTATAAGACATGTGTTAGGCATCTCAAAAGCAACAAGAACATAGCTCATAACATTTCAAGATTATTTAAACTCAAATTCATAACAATTTCACTATATTTATAACTACAGTAGATGTTTCCTTTACACTTGTTTTTTTTATACAACTATTACTGTGATGAACTTGTGACCAAGTGTTGCATTCTCTATCTGTTTAAACTTCCCTAACTTCGCTGAAATTCCAAGACTATGAATCATCATTATGCTGATAATCTAGGTCAAGCACAAGTGGAGTACAACTAACACAAGCTGAACCTAAAAGCACTATCATCCTAACACAATAATGATTCTAATAAAAAATAATTACCGTTCTATGTAGGTCGTGTAGCTTAGATGGATCCACAAAGGTATGAGGAAGAAGCTTAAATATCTCTTGTGCACCAGAACAAACTACAAGAAAGGAAGAATTCAAAAGTCAGCATAAGCCTTACTTTTCAGCATTCATTAGGCAAAAGTAAATGGCATATCAGAGATTCAGAAATAATTAGTTCATGAATGGGTTAGTTTAATTTCATTTGTCATTAAGTCTGCTTAAGAAAGGACAGGTCGTATAAAATAAGGTATCAATTTCATTTCCTTACAACATACCATTTCCTGAACCAGTAAATACAAAAACCAGGGGACAGATCCCCAATGGCAATCCCTGCGTCGCAATTTCTTCACCAACAGAAATCACAGCAGCCTTAGCAGCAGCCAGGGAAGGGTACATGTAAGATGATCCAAGTGATAAGAAAGGTGTTGAATATCCAAGACTTAAAAACCCTGGAACAATAAAACATATAACATGTAAAGTTTGAAAATTAATTGATCTTGATCTGTGCTATATTGATAGAAACTTACGTTGTCCTAATCCACGCAAAAAATCAATCATTCCAGCTCTACCAGCAAATTTTCCAAATGCAAGTAACCTTTTCCCATTGTCCCCAACAATTAATTCATAGTCATATAACGATGCCCTCTCAGCTAGAATCTAAAGTTGGCGAAGAGAAAATAACAAAAACAAGTTAGAAGTGGCAAGAAACCACCACAAAATTGAAGTCATGTCACAACTTTCAAACATGAAGAATTATAATAGCACCTTATCCAGCAAAGGCATGTTTTCTTTCTGTGCTTTATGTGTATGCGAGAAGAAGGCATAAGCTCTATCCGGTAATATCATCTCCAGCTGCACCAAATCCACACATATCATTAAAAATCTCAGATCAACTAAAACACAAGTAACACACACTAGCAGGGAACATGATTAATTTAAGGTTTTGAAGTTTGAACCCAAAAAAAGGAAGAGAAAGAAGAACCTTTGGTTGCTTAATGCCAAGGATGAGACCACATTGTGACAAGTCTTGGGATATTTCAGCACCAACTTCTTCATAGAGAGCATCATGATGAATTCTCTTAGTGGAAGGCTGCACAATGATTCTGGAAACACCTGTCCCACCATGGAGTAATCGAGCACAGTGTGAAGGGGTCAAAGGTGCCCTTCTTTCCCATTTATTCACAGATTCTGCTAAGATCCCGACAGCCCCGTTCCCAAGCATGATCCTTTCACCTGTTTCGACACACCCAATTGTCTCAACTCTTCATCCATTCACACCATAACTCAAAAACAACACATAAAGAAGGGAAAAAATGCTTAGTGCTTACCCTCCAATATCAGTAATTGAACGCGTTGTTGTGATTGATTAAGATTGAAACTGAATGAGAGAAGTACTGATCCAGAAACAAACAACGATAGGAGAAGAAATGATTTCTAATAGGATACGAGCGTAACAACTAAACTAGAATGCCAAGCTGTGCAGCTCATTAGTTCGTGGTTGCAACAATGTCAACTTCTCAAAAACAATGATAACAACGTGTAATATTTAAAAAGGCTGATACGTGACACGTGACGTGTACTGTGACTGATTTAGCTCACGACACTAAAAGTATGGGAAATGGATCCTACGTTGTCATTTTCCCTTTTTTTTTTATTCTAAGTGACTAACATCTTACATCTTATCTAAATTTACCAATAAATAAGAAATAATATGCATAAAAATTTCATGTTAACCTCGTGATTGACTGTGACCTCCATCAGAAAAGAAATAATAAATAATGATAGTTTGGGTGCCATGTTGACGCCACGTCTTATCAAAATTAGATACGTAAGTTATTTATCATCACATTCACATTGTATTAATGAGATAAGCTTAATGTCCTATCATCATTACTTACGGGCACTTAAATGTCGTGACGTGACGTAATCACCCACCAAAGTTAGGAAAATGAAAACAATACACTGGATAGAGACGTGACGTGTATTTCTTAAAATATAGAGTTTGTTTTGTTCATTAACCTATTAAAATATATTAATTGTATTCAATATTACTTATTACTTATCATTTAAAAGGTATGTATTTAATCATTTCTGTATTTTAATATTTTCATTTACAATTTTAAAAAAGATTATTTACAATGTTTTTTGTTAAATTTTTAATTTTAAACTAATTTGACGTTTCTAGTTTTTCTTTTGTACTAATATATTATATCACTTGATAGGATTTTAACCAAACACATATAAGAAGTAAATTAAAAATAAGTATGACACATTGAAATAATTATTTTTAGTTTGATTTTTGATTTTAATTAATTCATATTAATTAACAGACGAGAAGAATAATTAATACTGATGATTTAATATATAAGTACTAAATTATTACATGGAAATTAAATTAAAAATAGCATATATATAATATGCCAATATTAAAAAAAAAAACCTTCTAAAATTTTCCTTCCCATCTTAAATTTTATTCCCTCCGTTCTTTTTCATAGTTGTTTAAGATTTTGCATTAGACTTAAGAAAATGATTGATATTTTAGTTTTTTAAAATATTTATTACTTATTTTTTTATTATATTTTATATTTTTTTATTTTTTTTATATTCAAATTTTGAGACTGTTAATTTGTGTATATAAAATTTTTTACCTTTTTAAAATTAAAGAGTCTTGTAAATAACTTTTTTTTTTTCTGCTTTTTAATATTTCGATTGAAAATATATTACTCTCATAAATGCAACATTAACTTCACATAAGTAATTGAGGAAAAAAATAGATAAATATTAAAAATAAATAAACACATTATTCAATAAATATATATTAATTATTAAGAGTAAAAAAATAATATATCATTAATTTTAGTAAAATAACAATTAAGAAAACAAAATATTGACAAAAATAATTATGAAAAACGAGTAATTCTTTGTCGGTATTAGTTTATTAATTACTTAATTTTTGGTAATTTAAAACATAAATATCGAAAATTTATTATAACGAGTGAATAAACATGCACGCAATCATATCAGACACTGATTCCAATTTACACGTTCTGATATCGCATCTAATGTGGATGACCTTTTCCCCTTTTTAATCGTTGCTTTCTACTTTTCAGAGAATCTTTTGGGATTTCCAGTTATTGTTTCAGTACATTCTGTCAGATTCATCATGATCACTACATATTTTGGTGGAGAGTTGTTAGATGTTTCAATACATTTTTTTATAAATTTATAAAAGATTTAAAAGAATAATTTAATTATAAAATAAATAATCTAAATTATACTTATAAAATAAAAAATAAGATAAAATTATAGAGATTAAAATTATAATATTTTAATAATATTATAAAATATAAAAAAAGAAAAAAAATTAATAAATAATAGAAATAAAAAATTATAAAAGTTACAATATAGAAATTCAAAAATTTAAGATAAAAAGACTAAAATATACTTAAAAAATTATTAAAATTAAAATATAGAAATTCAAAAATTTTAAGTAAAAAGATAAAAAATATACTTAAAAAATTATTAAAATTAAATTATTTAAATATATAATAATATTATTACAAATAAATTAGAATATATAAAATAAAAATAAAATAATTAAATAATTTAAAATTTGAAAGAATAAAATATCATAAATATTATTTAAATAAATTATTAAAAATATAAAATATAAAAAACTGTACCATAGAATTTCTCATTTTGGTGTATATTTATTTAATTCTAGAAACTGTAAAAAATAAATACATTTTTATATTTACATAAGTTTATTTATGTGATGAAATATTATTCATACATACTCATGTTATGAAGAATTTTTATATTTTCAATAGTTTAATTTTCTTAAAATAATTTAAATTTAAAATTGGAATAATCTGACTGTTATTTCTGTCAATTGATCCGTCTTCTTGTTTTTAATTTTATGATTTTATGCACGCATTCTTCAATCAACAATGCTTGTTTTTTAGTATAATTTATTATAATTAATTTCGATATTTTATTTCATTTAAACATGTTTTCAATCATAAAAATAAAAATTGGATGCTTCATCGTTTTATTCTTGGTCCGAACGCTTCCCGTTATCAGCATATCCGTGAACTTGGATTGGAAAGGGCCCAAATATGACGATGAAGCCCAAGGGCCTCTAATCTCAAGCCTATGACTAGTATGGGCTTGCTGAATCCACTAAAAGGCTTAACAATTATTACATGGTACTTGCTTTGGTAAGAAAAAACAACTTGGATAAATATATTTATTTATTTATTTTCTTTTTTGCCTCATCTTTTTATATTTCCTTCTCATCACATATATTATTTTTTCTGTTTATTTCTAAATAAGTGCTGACAACATTCTCTAACAAACTTAATTTAATATTAACTGTTAAAATTTATTAAAAATTAAAAAATCATTAGTGAAATTCATTACAAGAGTTGAATCTATAGTTTTTTAATTTTTAATAAATTTCAATTAATGGTAGAGTGTATTCAAGAGAATATATTAGAAGAATAAGCAGCTTATCTACTGAAAATTCGAATAATTTTTACATTACCATCCAATCACAAATATATCCAAATAGATACAATCTTGATAAATATAAGCATCCCATTTTGAGGTGAACTGCGGTTAAAGAAAAATAAAAATAGGAGGAAAGAAAAAAATGCTAGTAAAATACTTTATATAAAGCTTCTTTTTGGTATTAAAAAAATTATATCATTAACCAATTAAAATTCATGAAGAACTACATGAAGGAAGTATCTTGCTTAGTAGTCAGTACTTGGAGTAAAGATTCTCTTCATTTTCTTTTCTTTTCATTTCTTCTATTACTAAAGTTTTAAAAGTACAAGTGTCATACTTCCTAAAATATGTATCAACTTCATCAATTTTATTTTATTAATTTATAAAAAAAATTAAAAACTGAAAGAAATGAAGAGAAACGAAAATGGAGAAGATCCATGCATTTTCCAATACTTGGGCCCTCTCATCTATGCACAACCCAACCCAACAATCATTGCTCAAGGAAACAAAAGAAACATTGCCAACACAGAGTAAGAAAGAACTGTGATTCTTATATTTTGTTATTAATTTATATTAAATTCCAAAATTATTGTTTTCAATGAATTTTGTTGGAAGATTGAAAAATATTTTTTCGAAATTAAAGAATAAAAAGTTATAGAAAAATCAAAATCAAACATATAATGACCGTATTCGTGCTTAACTTAAATGATTATATTTGAACTTTCACTAAATTCATTTATTAACTCTTCTTAAACTATCTGACTATTGTTACGAACCTATTGGCTATTGCTTATGGATGACCTCATGCAGTGATGCCTTCGTCTCTTATCTGAATCGTGTTCTTCACAAAAAATAAATAAAAATAAATCAAATGGTGCTTATATTTCTCCAAGTGGAATGTTTTAAAGACTAATGAAAAACACTTGAAAATTAGTCGCCACGAGTGAGTATCTGGCAATTGTGCATATTTCTTCAAATTCAGCCTGAATATTAACAAAAGGTTGTTCATACAAGAGGCTTCCATTAAATTAACTTATAAACTGTTAAAATGAATTTATATTTTAAATCCATCGTAAACTTTTTAATATTTGGATAGAAAATAAAAAAGTAAGTACTTTAAAAGAAAAAAAAATGATACAAGAAATAAACTCACTTAATTTTCAAAATACAATGACTTAACAGACTTAAAAAAATCTTGAAAAAAAATTCTTAAAAAATCAAAATTACACGTAATCACCACCGATCGAATGAGTTAATTATAAGTTTTAAATATGTATAATTATATTAAATGTTCAAAAAATGAGAGTTTTGTCATATAAGAACAAAATTGTTTATTGCTAACAATATTTATATTCTCTACTTCCAACTCAAGTTAGCATAAGTGATTAAAGATTAAGACTGAATTTTCACCTACTTTATGGGTGTGGGTTTAAATCCCTAAATCACTACTTCTTTTACTTGGTGGACGACCCTCTCCAAGGAGATCCCTCAATTTAGGACTAGTTGAAGGTAAAATTGCTTGCGATTTAAACTTATGATATATTTGATAGTATTAGAAGTGTCTTCTCATTCTATCGATTTTTTGTAAAAATAAAAAACAAAATCTATATTCTCAATTGAAAATTGCACATAAATTAAATGCTAGAAATTTAAAATACAATTAATTAAACCAAACTTTGTAACTTAATTTGATAAGCTGTGGAAAGTAATTTCTGACCTTCTTATAAACTCTTAATTTCTTTTACTTATATTAATAAATTTTTCAAAATAAATTTTTTTATAATTTAATTTATAAGTTTCACGATCAAACTACATAAAACCCGGCAATCAAAATTTACATAATGGAGGTAAGAGAATATTTCTTACTTCACTTAAGAAATTAAATATTAAAAATAAAATTAAAGAAAAGGGTACCCTTCTGAATGTAGGTTGTCCGTGCATGAAATGATGATTAGTCGCAATCAGTTAAGTACCTTTTTTCTCAGATTTAGAGGCGTCGGTGCTACAAAAATGGGTAGTCATGACAAACATGATTTGGTGATATTTCTCTTTCGCATTGTGAAAAGCATGCAACA